ATGTTCAGTCATAAAACTCAGTGGCGTTCAGGGTGCTATGAGGGGTCAGAGGTTAGAGGTCAGAAGCCAGCACACAATTCTGTACGAGGAAGGTCGGGGCGAGCGTGGACTCACAGTGCAGGGTGAGGAGGAAGGTCGGGCTGTCCAGGCGGCCGTGGCGGCCTCTGGGCTGGCTGTAGTGGGCAGCACAGTGGAAGCTGGCGTCCCGGTCGGCCTTGTGGAGCCGGAGGTACAGGATGCTGGTGAGGGACTGCAGCCCCGAGGCCTCACGGGTGGTGCGGCTGACCATGTAGCCATCTGGGAGAGGGTGGGGGAGGCTGTCAGTAGCCCCCCGCTGCCCCCCACCCACTCACTCCCGTGGCTGCAGCGCCGCTCACCCGAGTTCACCTCCATGGGCACCTCCAGACGCTGCCCGTTCCGATACCACGTGATCTGGGGGGCTGGGTTCCCGTTCTGGCTGAGGCAGGTGGCAATCTGAGGGGGACGCAGGTGTGGCCCTGAGCTTAGAGCCAGGACTCACTCAAGTCAGGGTCCCCAGCCCCCTGCTCCCTCAGAACCCAGCCCTCTACTCCCCCAGATACAAGAGTACAGTCCCCCAGCCCCCTTCTCCCTCAGATCTAGGCGTCTGGCCCCCAACTCTTTCCTCCCTCAGACCCAGGAGTCCAGGCCCCTCCTCTGCCCAGGCCCTGGCTCCTTCCTCCCCAGGACCCTGGACTCAATGTCGACCCCAAGGTACCTTCTGGGCCGAGTCTTCCATCACAGACAGTGTGCCTTTGTTGGGCTCAACCTCAGTGGGCTCTGGTTTGGCTGTGGAAAAGATGCTAGCATCAGGGGCCCCTTCCGCAGCCTCCCCACCCCCAGGGAACCCCTCGACACTCACCGAAGACGCGCAGCCGTGCGGTGGCCTCAGCAGTGCCCGCTGCCCCAGCCTTCACCACACACACGTAGTCCCGCTCGTCGCCTATCTGGGCCTCAGCCAGCACCAGGCGCCCCTGGGAGTCCAGCTGGTATGGAGGGCTGCGGGCCCTGCCATCGTGCACTGTGCCCTGTAGCTCCGAGCCCTGCAGCTCCGCCGAGGCCAGGAGGTGGCGGGCCCCAGAGCGGTCCATCTGCCAGCAGGCAGGGCCTTAACTCTGGCTGCCAAGCCTTTCGCTCCTCCATGCCCCACATCTCTCTCCACATCCTCTTTCTCTCTGCTCCTCTGTGGGTCTGCTTCTCCATCCTGTTTTCTCTCTCTGGTCCCTCTGTCCCACTGTCCACCTCCTTCCACCCTGCCTTCCCTATCTTTCACTTCTTTTGTTCTTTCTCTACCTCTTCTCTTATTTCATTCTGTTCCCATCTTTCTTTCTGCCTTCTCCTCTCCTCCCCCCACCCCATTTTCTCTCCTTCTCTTTTTCCTGTGGAGGAAAGGCCTGGTGAGATGCTTCCGTAGAGATAACGGCCATGAAACCCCTGTGGAACCCTTGGGACCATGGTCGCAGGGGCCATTAAGCTCATTGGCATAACATACTACACAAAAACATCGTTCCACCTCTACTTTGGTGAGTAGCGACTGGGATAGTAAAAGCTTGCAAGCAGCCATCTAGATGCAATGATGGGTCTCTCCTTGTCCAGAGTAAAGAAGAATGAAGAAAGCCAGAGACGCATGGAAACAATTAGTCCAAGGGACTAGCAGACCATGTGATCTGTAGACTATATGACTATGAGACCAGAAGAACTAGATAGTACCCGGCTACCACTGTCAACCACTCTGAGGGGGATCTATGTAGGAGATCCTGGATAGATTGGGAGAACAATGTGGAACAAAACTCAAAATCACACACACAAAAAGGGGTACCAGTTTTCTTGGTCTGATAGAGCCTTGTGGACCCCTGAGACTATGGCCCCAGCTGCCCTTCAGGTCTGGAATTGAACCCACTCCTGTGGCTTCTAGCCAAACAAAAGACAGGCATTATGAGCTGAACATTTATATTAGGCAGATACACTCCTTGGAGAGATCAATCATGGCAGAATAGAAGGGCTGTGTATGCACAGGGAGATAGCTCAGGGGGCAGGAGTGCATGGGAGGGAAGGACACAGGGAAGAGGTAACTATGGGGAGGGAGGGGGAGGAGAGCTGTTGCATTGTAGGAGATTACAGTCAAAGTCACAAGACAAAATGTATGTAAAGTGCTGTGTGGAAGATGAATTTGCTCTGTAAACTTTCACCCAAATCACAATAAAAATTAAAAAAAAGAAAAAGCTTGCAAATAGCCATCTAGATGCAATGATGGGTCTCTCCACATCCAGAGCAAAGAAGAATGAAGAAAACCAAAGACGCATGGAAACAGTCCAATGGACTAGTAGACCATGTGATCCTCAGCCTATATGACCAC